CTTTCTTGTTGGATTGATGTCTGACAGTTGTTCCTCCACGAGATGAGTCGGTGTGTTCTATACCCGCATTGGCCTTGCATCATTCACGGCTGGATGGGTTGGTTTGTTGTCCCATTGACCATAATCCTTAGGATACGCTGGTGTGTTGCCCGGTTGTCTACGGACTAGGATTGAAAAGTTTGTTTACCGATAATCCTTCTTTTGTGCGTGAACCTCGGTCTGATGATTAAGTATTAAGAGATTGTCGATCATCGTACTCTACTGAAGGGTTTGACAAGATTGGTAAGTGGAATAAGGATGGCAACTTTGGCAATGTTTTTTGTATCCCTAAGCATAAGGATGTTAGGAGATGGCGTCCTATTTGCCCTTCCTTTGCCGAATGTGCTACGTTGGGGGGCAAGCGGGTTGTGTATGCGATCAATCAGCTGTAGTGGAAACTCCTTGAGTCTCTTCACTTTAACCTTCGGCGCACTTCTGATCTTATGAGTAGGCTGCAATCTCTTAATAGGAAGCTTAAGGGCAGTGATCGACTGTTGGGTGTTTCCTTTGACGTTAAGGAGATGTTCTCCAATTTGCCGCATCAGTCGATCTTGAAGGTGCTGCGATGGGCGGTTGATTATTGGGTCTCTGAGGGCTACAAAGGAGTTGCAGTCAAGAAACACGGTAAGATGGCTCGATTGGTCAAAGAGCGAGTCGAAGATGGATGGGTGTCTATCAAGCTTGAGACTATATATCGTTTTGTGTTGTATGATCTAAAGAATACCTTCATTCACTATTCTGATGTGCTGCTGAAGCAGATTCTGGGAATCCCTATGAGAAAATCAACCAGTCTGACATTGGTGTGTCCACTATGTGCATATAATGAGTTTTGTTTTCTGTCTTCGTTAGGTGCTGACCGTCGGTTGGTCGTTGGTTTCCAGATAGTTGATGACGTCTCCTTTTTTGTCCATTATTCTGAGTCGTCCCCTTCTTCTTCTCAAAGGCGCAGAGGTTGATTGATCGGTTTCACATATGTTATGATTCGAATCTAACCCTGGAGCAAACTAATGAAGGACCCGACTGGGATTTTATCGCATGTGCAGTCAAGGTTCTCAATGATCCCTGTCGTGTTTGTTGTGTGGTTATGCATAGGAATTAACGGGTGATTTCCGATCAAGGATTGGTTTTCCACAGCCTGCAGGACTTTGCCTCCTTTTCTGGTCGTCGGCAAAAACTAGCGAACATTTTGTCCTTTTTATATCGCCTAGGAATTTTCACTAATGTCCCGGGCTTGGAGTTTGCCTTTTTACTTACACTGAAACATGAGTTGTGGTTGAGAGGCTATCCTGATCAATATTTTGATTTGGCTCTTGAAAGGTTTTCTCGGAAATTTTCGGGTTGTTGGGATCACTGGCTGGGCATTCTTACTAAGTGGAGTCGTCTGCTGCCCTCTCGGTAGCTAGTCACATGTGCGTTTATCGGCCCGTCCGTAGGGCTGTTTTTTTCAAATTTGGTTACGTAATGAGGTTTGTCAATGTATGCTGGGGGTCCATCGGTCTATGTTGGGGTTCATTGGCTTAATCGTGGGGGGTTGCGAGTTGTTTATAGACTCCTCAGACCCTTTAGAGGTCGTGAGACGGACCCTTTTTGAATCTGGACGAGTTTTGGGTATTGTTCTGTTTTTTTGTTTTAACAAGGTGCTGAGGTTTATGGATAATACCTGTTGAACCTGAGTTATGATTTGTGGCAGTGACTTTCTGCTATGCTCTGATAGCATGGAGCGGTCTCGAAGCAGTGTGCTCTGCGATAAGTTGTCTATTGGTTTTCAGGTACCTTTTGGATAGTTTCGGTCGGATAAGCCGGATCAGGGACACGACTTGTTGCAGGGTCTTTATGTGTTGTACTGATGATGTGGAGTGGTCCTTCGAACCGGTGTACTTTGCACTGAACCAGCAGCTTGTTTTCGGGTTGTTGTCATCTGAATCTAGATGAGACTTTGTCTTTGTTCCGGTACCTTGTTCTCAATGATGCGTTGAGGTGCCTCGGTAGCATCGGGTGGACTTGAGATATGACTTGAGGTAGGGGCTTTCGGTTGTACTCTAGTAGTTACTGATAGGTATTAATACGCAGATTACGAGAAACCGTTGCCCTTGTGACGGTGACCGAAGACCCCTGAGGGGGCTGGTAGGCGGACCAGCCGAAACTAGTCGGGTCCACGCCGCTGAGCTTTATTTGTCATATTTTCGTATATCGTCACGTCGGGGTTAACTTTGTATCTGCGTATTGTCTCTTTCCTCTGCTTCTTATTCTTTGCTTTCTTTTTTACTACTACTTTTTTTTTTTTTTTTTTTTTTTCCCCTTTTTTTTTTTTTTTTTTTTTTTTTTTTTTTTTTTTTTTTTTTTTTTTTTTTTTCCCCTTCTTCTTCTTCTTCTTCTTCTTCTTTTTCTTCTTCTTCTTCTTCTTCTCTGGTGGTGCTATGATGGTCGTCGAATTGTCTTCTTTGATGCCTATTGTTTTGTAGTTGTGAGTTGACTTCGGTCCTTCTCAGCTACATGTCTTCGAGCGAGAGCTGCCTCAACACCACTTGCTGTAGGGTGGGGATAATAACGTCATCATCTAAAACACCCATCTCAATCCAAGGCGCTTGAGGCATGTCCGTAGGCTATGGAACAATGTTGTTGTACAGTTCACAACCCTAGAGAGTACAATTCAGTTGGTACACCTACTCAATGTTGAGAACCTGATAGGAGGAAATTCAAATACTAAAAGAACAACAGAATAAAATCAAACTCAATTACCCGGGCTGCCCGGTCATTTAGACGATGATATCAGAAGGTTGTCGCCCTTTTTTCAAGTTTTTTTTTTTTTTTAAAGGCCCACGCAACTTAGAGCACTACAGAAGCTTTATAGTTTAAAGTCCTACATTCAAGCTACGTACACAGTTTAAAGTCCTACATAGAGAAACGTTACCGGAGAATAGATGAGAAACCTGTACGACAATGTAAAGCGGAAGTCGATCCCAGAGAGTGAGGAGAGAACACAAGGAGAAGAAAAAGGTACCGTCTAGATTTCGCTTTATCCCCTGTTGTGGCCACAAATAGAATGCCTAACATATCGCAACGGTACAAGGAGACTGAGATCTGAACATATTCAGGAACTGAGAGAGAGAGAGAGTGAGAGAGAGAGAGAGGGAGAGAGAGAGAGAGAGAGATTGATGTCGATGCGAACAACCGAGCTCGTATTATGCGACCAGAGAGAGAGAGAGAGAGGCCAGAGGCAAGAGAGAGAGAGAGGCAAAAATATGAGAGAGAGGGAGAGAGAGAGAGATAGAGAGAGAGAGAGAGAGAGAGAGAGAATTGAGAGCGATGAAGGATGGTGTCCGTTGGCCGACCAATCAAGAATTTTTTTCCAATGATTGATCGACTGATTGAATAATCGCTTGATTGTTTGATTGATCGATTGATTGAATGCTCACGGAGGATTGACCTGCCTTGAATGACATTGTGTGTGTGTGTGTGTGTCTGTGTGTGTGTGCGTGTGTGTGTGTGTGTGTGTGTGTGTGTGTGTGTGTGTGTGTGTGTGTGAGAGAGAGAGAGAGAGTGTGTGTCGATGAAGACAACCCTTCGTTAGCATTCAACCAATCAGTCAATCAAACAATCACGCGATCATTCATTCACTCGATCAATCATTCAATCAATCAGTCTAACAATTTTATTTCCAACCAAACAATCAAGCAACCAAGCAGCTCCCAAGTGTTGTTGTCTGGTTGTGTTTTCCGTGGAAGGGCAATGTGCTTTAATTTGGGGGTCGATGTTGTACTTGGGGTTAGTGCAATGGGAGAGGGGTTGACCAACTTAGGAATTTCGGTCAGGTGCTCGTTGCAGGACGAAAGTGATGAGTTTAAGCTCGGGGATAAAGGCGGATGTGAAGAGGGGTTAGCATTAAGCAGTTAACAAAAACTCTTCAACGAAGTCAAATTTACAGGACTACACCGAAAGCGTCAATGTGTTTGGTTATTTTAGAATGTTGAAAACACACAATTTTGAGACAACTTTGTGTGGAAATAGTCGGTTGCCACGTACGTTCCTTTGTATACAAGCAAGTTTCGAAAACGAAATCCCAAACAAAACGAAAGTCAAAATGAGACTGAGGACAAATGTCAAGACCACAAGACATGTGTTCTTAAAACTGAAAAGAGAATGAAACAATTCCGGCAGTGTGAACCAAGAAATGCAGCCAGGGCCACATGGATCAATTAAAAAAAAAAAAAAAAAAAAAAAAAAACGTTTAAATCCCGAGTTAACATTTTAGTTTGAGCACCACAAAAATCAAGTGGAACACAAAAGTAGCTATTGCAGCCCACACAAAATGGCCTTGCAAAATGTGATGTCAACCAAAAACAAAAAAGCACCTACTTGAAAGAGTTGTCTTAAAAATATCGGGAGATGTCTCGCTATCCTACCAGCGTTGGACAAACATCCCTAAGAAATGTCCCACTATTCTACCAGGAAGTAGCAACAGTGGATCTAGGACTACATCACAGCAAAAGCGGATATAGGACTATATCACATCAAAAGTGAACATAGGACTATATCCCTACGATCGTGGAAACACGACTAGATTCCAGTGACAGTGGATCTAGGACTGAAGACGAAACAAAAGTGTGCACAGTCCTCGGTCTCAGATTTAGAACTGTTTCACAGCGGGAGTAGAAATCTGAGCAGCGATATAGGACTATAACAAGCAACGGCGACAACAGCGTCAACTGTGGGTCTAATACCAGGAGACAGCGGCCAACAAGCAAACTAGTGACGAGGGGAATTTCAAAATGTCAAGTGTGCAAATGCCTCGACCTTTCCTTCCAAGAGATTCAAACCTCTTTAGGGTGAATGGTTGTTCATGACTACCACTTATTGGGCTTGTTCTACCTCGGCTTCTGCCGGAATGCAACCGAACGACATGTGCACACTAACAAACCCAGGAAATCAACTGAGGTACAAATTTGTAAATCATTTGCAAGAGCGTAGATGAAATATAGTTCTATAACAAAAACAAGTTATAGAACTATATGCGCCATTGCTCATTTCCCCACACGTGGCTGAGCATTGTTGCGCAGACCCATCACAATGCTAGGCTGGGAGCTGACCGCCTCCTCTCCTTCGAGCTTTCTCGTACGACCTCGTGTTCCTGTCCCTGTGGCTTTACTCGAGTCCTGGCTTTGTGCCAGTTCCTCCCTCTCATGATTGTTGGACAACCCTGCGATCTCGCCTGTCTCCACAATGACTGCCCTCCGATGAGACAACTCACCTTCCTCTCGCCCTTTCGTCGACCCCGGGACATTTCCAGCCATAGTGGATGGTGGGATATTTCCACCCTGCTGCTCCTCTGCAGGTACTACCACGGGCGGTTCCTGACGCTGGTCAGATCCTGCCGGCAGTTCGGCTTCGGTTGCAATCAATCCCGGCAACGGCTCCCATGTCTCATGCGTCATCTCTTGGTCGGAAGCCTCCCTGGTCATGCCTTCCTCAACATGTTGCTTTTCTTCCGCGAGGTTGTGATCCCCAGATACCTCAACGTTTGCATCATGGTGCTGCTCCTTCGACTTGCCCTTCCCCTCTTTTGGCTTTTCTCTCTGCAACGTCCCTTCGAGGTCAGTGCGCAGCCTCATGCGGATTCTCTTTGCACACCGTTTGTCCAACTCCACGACGAGACAGTTCCTGTTGGTCATTATGCAAGCAATGACCCCTATACTCGAGCCCGAAAACCCGTCCAAAACGGTGGCACCTGGTGGAGAGAACTTCGTGACCAACCAGGAATACAAATCATAAGGTTTCTGGTATGGACAGAGCATCTTGTTATCACCTGGATGCACGAACTTCCGCGTGACCGCATAAAAAAGTTGGAAGTTGTGACGGGGATCGGTGGGAGCGAAGTTGTAATACGTCATCTCACGCTAGCCTGTCACGTTGTAGTACCCCAGAACGCAGAACTCTGTCGCGCTGACAAATCTGGGGCCAACGGGATTTGTCATGTTCGGCTTGCACCACGTGACAAGCTCTTGACCAGCATTGCAAATCTTTGCGAACGCGGACCTCACCGAGGATAACATGTCCACAGAGGAGAAAGCGGCGACTGTCTAGAGCGATGCGCTCGTAACCTCCTTGACATTCTGCAGCACGTCGACAATGTCACTCTCCGGGAACGACTTCGTGTCACGTGCGTGACCTTTGTGCGCAAAGCCGTAGGGAAAATCGAAGATAGAAAGAGAAATCGGCACCTTGTCCTTCTGCAGCTATGCCAAATGCAACGTAGCGCCTTGAATAACCTTACCTTGTCAGCACATCCTTCATACTTCACCTCAGTTCAGTCCGCGAAAGGGTTTTCCAAAGAATGCGCTTGGAAGAAATCGTGACTTGCTCTTTGCGCATCTCTAATCCTCATGTCCTTCATCTTCCTCCACTCCTTTGCTCGTTCAATATGATTTAGCAAAGCAGTGGGTTTCGCCCCTCGCCTCTCAAAACTTTCGATGAACGGCTCGAGAACATTCTTTTTGGAGTGCAAAGGATACAACTCCTCTGCGGCTTTGAAGTCTTTGCATTTCACACCATCGCAGAAGGCCTTTGCAACGCAGCCAAACTTCTTTACAACCTTGAACTTCCACTCCATCTCATCGAGGGAGATCTGCTTGGACACAACTTCTGTCAAGATGGGGATGATAGCCTCTTGCGGGATATTGCCCATCGTAATCCAAGGCTGAGCAGACATGTCAGTCGGTGCCGAAGCAACTTTGTTGTCCTTCAATTTCAGGCGAGGATTCAAGAACCCCATCTCTTGCTGTTTCGCAACCGCCCTATCCGACTTTCTCACTCCGCGTTTTTTCTTCCCACCTTCTGACTCGCTAGACTTTGGAGCGACGTCGGTGCGAATCTGACTTTTCGCCAGCGGTTTGAGCTTCTGATTCTTGACCTCTCCCTTCTGTAAGGACGCATAGCGATCTGCAACAACGGGTCATTAGTCTGCATCTTCTGGGCAGAAACAGGTATACCAAACTCCTGCAGGCAGGCCAACTTGACTTCGCCGTTCTTCACAACACCCATTCTCTCGAAGATGTGACGCCAACATTTCATCTTTTCGATTAAGTTCATATTTTTGTGGTACCCAGCTGCCAAATTTTGCTTGTAACCCACCTGCCTTGCTTCTTCCGTCGTCAGGCCCGCATAAACATAGCACACATTCCAGTTCTAATCCTCTTTGTTAGGGTAGATCTTCCGCAGGCGTTCCCTCGCCTCCCAACAATATCCACCTCCAAGAACATAAATGGTGTAGTCACCATTCCGCAAACGGGTCAAATCCCCGTTTTTCTTATGTTTCACCTGTGATGGATCCACCACACCAACGAAGGGAAGATGGTCTCCGGTCGGGCAAGTAATCATCGAATCCATGATTGTGGAAACGTGGTCTTCTTCGGTCTCCTGAATCTCGAGCGGCCTATTTCCTATTCCATCCTCCGACGGTCGTCAGAGACACGACATGGGCAGGTAGAAAGGCTCTTGGGAGATTTTCTTCTCCTTCAAATTCTCCAGCTCATTCCAGGCACGTGCCAGCTCGTCTGTGAGTTCGCCGGGCACGAGACCTCGAGGAACTTCATGCTCCTTTTGCGGAGCTTTACCTTTATCTTTCGAAGGCGCCGCAGGTTTCGTTGGAAACGCTTTCTTCTTGTCACGTTTTGGCTTCGTACCCGAACCTTTCTCGAGAGCCGCTGAGGAGTCGACACATGTCTGTGGGGAAACCACACCTGGCGGATACATTTTCTCCTTGCCTCCCTTCGTTTTCGACGGCCCGGGGGTCGATGTTGTCGCAACGCGCGGGCACCTGAACGGAAGAAGCCTGCGCTTAACTCGTGGAGCTAAGTAATCCCCGAACTCTTCTACAAAAACCTCCTCGATCACCCGCCTCGGTGATTATGGGACTATAATCGTTCAGGGCTACAACACTCACCAGACTTGGACTCCAACAGCAGGAATTAGCAGAAACAATACTGTGCGAACACTCGACTCGGTGATTATAGGACTATAATCGTTCAGCGCTGCAGCGCGAACAGGCAGAACGATCAAAAGACTAGAGCAACTGCGACACTCGTGACTGACCAGACTTGGACTCCAACTACGACACCTAGCAGAAATAGTATAGTGGGATCATCCACCTAAGTGATTATAGGACTATAATTGTTCAGGGCTGCAGCACACGCCAGACTTGGACTCCAACTGGAGGACTCCAACAGCAGGAATTAGAAGAAACAATGTTATGCGATCACTCGACTAAGTGATTATAGGACTATAATCGTTCATGGCTGCAGCACTCACCAGACTTGAACTCAAACAGCGGGAGTCCAACAACAGAAATCAGCGGAAACAGTACTGCGCGATCATTCGGCTAAGTGACTACAGGAGTATAACCGTTCAGCAGAAATCAGCAGGAATCCAGCAGCAGGACTCCAACAGCAGGACTCCAGCAGCAGGAGTCAGTAGAGACCGTATTGTGCGATCACTCGGCTCAGCGATCACCCGCCTCGGTGGTTATGGGACTATAATCGTTCAGGGCTGTAGCACTCACCAGACTTGGACTGCAACAGCAGGAATTAGCAGAGGCAGTACTGTGCGAACACTCGGCTCACTAATTATAGGACTATAATCGTTCAGCGCTGCAGCGCGAACAGGCAGAACGATCAAAAGACTGGAACAACTGCGACACTCGTGACTGACCAGACTTGGACTCCAATAGTGGGAATCACTCGGATGAGTGATTATAGGACTATAATCGTTCAGGGTTGTGCGATCAGCAGGAATCACCAGACTTGGAATCCAACAGAGGGACTCCAACAACAGGAGTCACTCGGCTGTGCGATCACTCGACTCAGTTATTGTAGGACTGCAATCGTTCGGGGCTGCAACACGAACAGGCATAACGATTAAAGGATTGAGAGAGAGAGAGAGAGAGAGAGAGAGAGAGAGAGAGAGAGAGAGAGAGAGAGAGAGAGAGAAAGGACGGTTTAACGGACGGTCACATCCTGCGAGGGAGAGGCTTGTAGGAGACTCGGGCAATGAGGATACGCATCCGGAAGTCTTTTTTGTTCGCTGCAGCCAGCTTCTTATTCTCGATTTGAAATTTGTTGGGCACCATTTTCTTTGCAGCAAGAAGGAAGCTTAGAAGGTTGCTGCCCATTACAATCCACAACTCGGTGAAGTATTCCTTCTTGTCCAAAGCCCAACTCGCACAAATGATACCGCCATAACATTTGTACTGCGGTTTGTTCTCCGACTGCACGTACAGCTTCACTCCGGCTGTTGTGAGGCAAATGGCCCAGAAGAACGGAAGAAGGTCCTTCTGCAATTTCGTGTTTAAGAGAACCTCCTTCACCCATCTCTCTTTGGTCTTCTAACTCGGTGTTCTGCCTGCATCCTCCTCGTCCGCTTCTTCCTCTTCTTCCTCTTCTTCATCTTCTTCCTCGTCTACGTCTTCTAGTCCGATCGGGTTCTCCTCTTCCTCCTCATCTTCGTCGTATTCCTTTCCACTCAGCTCCTCTTTGGCCTCTGCTTGTTCTTCGGCGTCGTTGTCCTATGCATCGTTGGTGGCCCCTCCTCTCGAATGTTTGATCTCGGGACTCCGACACTGCTTCGTGGTTTGCTTCCGCCGAAGACTCGATCCGGCTTAGACCAAACTTCGTCAGTATGTTCTTCATGTTGGACGAGCCTGCGTGGATGTCAACTGAACGAAAACAAGGGTCGACCGACGCTTGGAGCACAGAGACGGGGACATAGCCCTATACGCCTTTGGGAGGGTTGAGCTGAGAAGAAGGCGGAGTCGGGGAAGATCGAAGAAGTGAGTGATCAAACGTAAGAAACAATTGAACAAGCAAACAAACAAACTAATTAAGATCTGACCGACCTGCTTTGACAAACCGATCAAACCTCAATGAAACAGAACAATGTGGGATTGATGCCTGAACACCTAGGGGTGGGGTGGGGGTGGGGGTGGGGGTGGGGGGGGGTGGGGGTGAAGGTTTGCAGGCGCCAAATATTCCAACAGGCAACTCATGAATTCCAACACATTGTCATCAGAGCAAATTCAGAGTTCATGAGCTGTCTCAGCGATCCTCCTCTTGAGTCTTATGGTCCTATATTCCCCAAAAAAACAAACTACATCATGGTTGCCATCCAAACCGGGGGGGTGCAAAGGACTTCACAATCGTCTAAAACGTTGGACGAAAACCCCTTCGTTAACAAAACCGGCAAAGACTCGAGCATAGCAACTGTTGCCTTCGTCGTCCAATCACCGAGACACAGACCTTGGACAGAAATGCAACAAGGCAAATGAAAAAAATCATAAACAACTTTAAATCATTTAATCAATCAATTAATCAACGGATCAATCGATCATTCAACAGATCAATCAATCAAACAATCGATCAAACAATCAATCGAACAATCAATCAATCATTCAAGCAATCAATCAATCTAACAACCAATCAATCGATCAATCAACCTGTTAATCAATCAGCCGATCAATCAACCCGTCGATCTCGACGGGCCGTTTTATTCGAGATAGTCGGGATCGACGACTCTGGGACGAGATGATGCGTCGAGATCGACGGGTTGGTTAATTGGTTGGTTGATTGCTTGATTTATTGATTGGTTGATTGATTGATTGATTGACAGCGGCGGCGGCGAAGGCGGGGCGGT